CCATGCTCCTGTCTGCTGTCCCTTGCCTTGTTTTGCAGCATTCTGACTGGACTTCTGTCCTTCATGGTACTGCTGACGTGGCACCGTGCTCGCGCAGGAACGGGCATGCATGTCCACATGCGCACCCACTGATAACACCCACTTGCGCTCATTCAAGGGCTCTATGCGTACGACGAACGACTCTGCACGCACGGGTTTTTTTTTTCTCATGCGTATGGGCACTTTAGCAAATCAGCACACGGACTCTGTACGATGTGTGCTCACACTCACGGCTTCCAACCTGCCACCTCTGAGCAGTGTACACGTGGCTGCTTTTCCCAACAAGACAGCATGAGATGGTTCCTCATCTCTCACTGCTCTCTGACCCGCTTTCCCCCGTCCTCTCCTGCTCCCCCTGTCCTCTCACAACCCTCTCTCCCTTTCCTCTCCCGCGCGGCCAGTCGGACGATGCAGTGACAGCGGGCAGCATAGTGGCGTCAGAGGCAGACAGGCGCAAGCTCGCACGGCTCTCCATGGCCAACAACTGCTGCAGGTACGTGCTTTGCTGCTCTGCCATATTGCTCCTCTTAAATACGTCCCATTTGCTGCCCTCATTCTCCCCATCCTCATTTGCCTGAGAGTCCCTAATTAGTTGGTCGACAATATACATCTCTCTACCTCCCTCCGGTTCCCCTTACGTCCGTGATTCATGTCTATTTCCGCCCTCCTCCCCCCAGCCCCATGTTTCCGCAAGCTGTTCCCCCGACCTGGTGGACAGCTACACGGCCTCGCTTGCCACGGCAGCAGATGCAGCAGAGGGGGGGAGGGATGGGGCGTGCAGAGCGCAGGGGGAGGGGGCAGAGGGTAAGGGAAAGGGGGTGGGAAGGGCCGGCGGGTGGTGGAAGCTGCTGCTGGGGCGGTGGGTGGGGCGGGAAGGGAAGGGGAGTGAGGGGGGGAGGGAGGCGAGAGTAGGAGCGCAGGGCGAGGCACAGAGAGTGGGAGGGGGGCCAACGGAGGGTGGGCAGAGCAGGTGGGAGAGTGGGTGCGCTGCTGCTGCTGCTGCATTGAGCGCAGGGAAGGCAGCAGAGGCAGCTGTTACAGGGTCGGGCAGTGGGAGTGGGGCGAAGCCGGGCATTTCTAGCTTGTCGTTTTGGGTGACAGCGGCAGTTGTGCTCATATGTGGGTGCGTCATGGCGGTGCCGTTCCTCGACTCCTTGTCCTCGTCCCTGCTGCGACTATCCTGACAGTCAACACGTTGAGCGTGGTGGCTTCAATTCGTGTGCTTATTTTTGTCTGTGAAAAACTTGGGTTAGGAGCTAGCATCATTTGTACTTGTAATGTTCAGATGATTGATTTTGTGTAACAAGGCTTTCGTGAGGCTGACCTTAGGGGATCGTGGTGTTCTCCTTCGCCAGTCGCACCGCAACCTCCCATGCCGTGCGGCGTGTCATTCGCAACTTGCACGCGAATGGCAGTCCGCGAACTCGCCCGTTTCAACCGACACCGTTTTCGCCTTCCCTCCATTCATTCCGTGCTGCCGGCCGCTCCCACTGTCGAGTCCGACTTGCCTCCTTGAAACCTCCTCGCGTCCCCTTAGCTCCCTGGCACTACTACACCAATCCAAGGTAGCAATCATACAGACCGACCCCCTCCCTTGCACACCAGTACTGAGGCCGGCTGTGCTCTGTTCTCATGTGCTGATTCCCTACCTTTGTTTTTCTCCACCCGGCAGTCTTCAGCGTCCCTATGCGCTCGCGTCAGAGCCGCCTGCCTGGACACCCCGCCTTCCTTTTAGGACGGCCCTGAAAGGAGGCGATCGCGTCTCCGCCTCGCTTCGTCCGCGCGCCCCCATGAAGAGCCCCAGCGCGCAGCTCTCGCACGCGCTCACGCGCATCCACGCCGCCATGCACCGCCCACCCTCCCCAGCGCCCGCGCCATCCACCCCGCCATGCGCGGGGAGCCCTCCTGACGACCCCATGCGACGATCCGTGAGTCGACGGGCGTCGCAGGAGCGCACAGCGGAGTTGCTGCAGCAGTCGTTCCGATCCAAGGCGCAGCCGCCCGCGCGCGCGCATCCTGCCGGAGCGCCCATCCCCGGGATGCCTGATGCGGGCGGCGGGAAACAGCGGCGGAGGAGCGCGATGCGGAGCAGCAGCGGGCTGAGGGAGGGTCTGTCTGGGGGAGCGCGGGGGTCGGAGAGTCCCGCGGCGTCGGGGCGGCAGGGGCTGCGGAAGCAGGTGTCGGGCGACCTGGCGCCGCTGCTGCTCATGCTGAAGCGGCAGGCCACGCCCACGAGGACGCGCTGCGTGTCGCCCGTGCAGTCGCCGCGCGACGTGTGGGAGGCGGCTGAGGCTGGGAAGCTGTTTGACTGGATGAGGAAGAGTGAAGAATGCGACGCCACGTCAGCAGGGCCGAGGGATGAGAAAGTCGAAAGCGCTTCTGTTTCCACAGCAAGGGCTGTTACACTTGAGAGGAGGAGGTTTCTAGTCCAGGCGCAGAGGCCGCTGCAGTCTCCAAACAGCACCTTGGATCCACCTGACGACCTGCCACTGTGGCGTGAGGGACCCTCCCAGTCCCCCTGTTGCCACTGGGATCTACCTGCAACGTTTCCCAAAGCACAGACGATCCCAAGTGCTTGTTGCGAGAGCAACGTGGATGCGTTGTGCGAAAGGAATCAGAACCGGCAGCCATTGTGTCCTCGGTGCTCCTGTAGCCCGTATCGACCAATAATACTAAGAGGTGCCTCTTGCGATGGGGCAAGACAGGTTCCAGCCAGGCCGCAGCCACATGGGATGTACCCTCCATCAATGCTAAATAAAGGGAGGGGACGACTCGCAGGAAGGACATTCAGTGTGAGGCAGCAATTGGCTATGGAAGGTAGGCCAAGATGGAGTCTATGATCTGGTGATGGGCTAGCAGCGTACATAGCAGAGCCGTGAGCCCCACAATTTAACAAGAGAACCGATTGTGAAAGTTGCTTAGTCCATCTTGCAAAGGTAGCGTGCTTCATTTCAGATGGGTGGTTACATAGCTCTCGTCGCTAAGCGCACATACATTGGAGGGAGGGTGGGGGGGAACTCAAACTAGAAACTGAAAATGAAGAACGTGGGTGAGGCCAACTGGCCTCTTTGTATGCAAAAAGAGGGTGAGTAGCGGCGCGCCGCTACCTTTGCTGTGCTGGCCACGTTTCCACTTTCACAATACACAATTTTAGAAAGCGTGTAACACTATCAAAAATTATAATTTATAAAGATATTTCATGTTGCAAGGGTTCCCCTCCAATCCTAGTAGAAATGTGTGCATGAACGAGAATAGGAAATAGAAAGTGTTGTATACTCGCATTGCTGTATTCGCCACCAGTAAAATGATTATTTGAATGTTCGGGCAAGGGGCACCGATTTCATCTGTCACCGAGCACATCGTCGCCACGCAGGCGTCGCACGCACCTTGCGTGCTCACGAAGTCGCCAGACACCCACTTCGCAATTTCGCACACCTCAGCAACAGCTCGCCTATTGTGAGGGCAGGCAGGCCACACTGTAGGACTTCTCACTCAGTGCGCCGCAGAGGCTCGGCTGACTGATGGGCAGAGCAGAGCAGCACAGGGAAGGACCGTGCGACGCCAGCAGGGACCGCCAGTGGCATGCTGTTGTGTTCTCAACTGTTCAACACAGGCAGGTTAGTCCTGGACTCCTTGCTCTGAGTGACCCCTCCTGCTGCTTCACTACTGTTTGTCTCTCTCGCCTCCCACGCTACGCTCTGTACCTGCTTGTCTACGCTTCGCTCCCCGCCTTTCACGGTCTCCTGCACCCGCTGTCCATCTGACGTCACGCGCAAGCAGGTTGCTCTGCTCTCTGACGCTACGAGCTCCGAGACTGGTCTGAGCGCCATGGCGGATGAAGTGTCGCTCGCTGAGCAGGTCCACTCTCGTGCTCCTCTCGTGCCCCTAGGTTTTGTCAGAATCTTCTCTTGATGTGTTTACTTGCTCAACTCGCGTCTCGTCATTAGAGTTTGAGCCTCCCTTAATGTTCCACGGCGTTTTGTGCACTTGCGATTCGTATCGTGCGTCTTGTATGTCTGACCCTTCGCTCTTTCAAAGTTCCCAAGTTCGCCTCAGAGGTCGGCGATCTCGAATACGCTCCGTCATTCGGGCATACCCGCTCGAGATCTATGTCGCATGCTCTCATAACGCTCTCTTACGCGTCCATGCGTCATCATTCGTAATCGGTGATCCATAATTCATTATTCGTGATTCATCATTCACGATTCACGATTCACGATTCACGATTCACAATTCACAATTCACAATTCACAATTCATGATTCATGATCCGTGCAGGAGGCTCGCTTGAAGAAGAAGTACGGCGGGGCTCTGCCAAAGAAGAAGGGGCTGCTCTCCAAGGTATCGCGAGAATCTGGCCTTATTGTTGACTTTCCAGTTGACTTTTGAGTCGACTAAAAAGACTATCGAGCACACCGGTCTGCTGATCTGATGTCGATAAGGTGCCGTCGTGTGATGGCTCGCCAATGCATCTACTGTTGACCCGTCTTCCTTATTTTTGTCTCTGCCATCGTTTGCTCGTTGATTATTCATAGTCACGCCGCGTCAATGCGTTCTCCCTCATTTCTTAGAATCTCCTGTGACCCTCGTATCTTCCTGACCCCGTGGCCACCCGCTGTCCGCCTCGTGTCCGTGCAGGGTCACGAGAGAGCGTTTTTCGACTCGGCCGAGTGGGCCATTCAAAAGGTACCATCGCACACCAGCGGCCTTCCACTTGCATGCCGTCTAGCAGCTGTCACAATGTGCGCGGTGGGGCTGCAGTCCATCCAAGCGCCACTGCACTGCTTTTCAGACCTGGCCTCCGCACTTGATGGATTTTGAGGCGCCTCAAAACTGAGAGTGCTTTTGAGGCGCCTCAAAACTGAGAGTGCTTTTGAGGCGCCTCAAAACTGAGAGTGCTTTTGAGGCGCCTCAAAAGCACTGCTTTTCAGACCTGTCCTCCGCACTTGATGGATTCAGGCTGTTTCTGTGCAATGCGAAGCTTGGTGTCTGCATCCGCTGTTTCTGCTCACCTTCCTTGTCCCATCTGCTGCGTGTCCTCCGTTCTCGTTGATTGCCAGCAGCAGCAAAAGGGCGCCAAGCCAGCAGCGCCGGCAGAGGAGGGCCTACAGCCGAAGCTAGAGGTACGCTGGCCATGTATGGTTCGGTTTTGGTGGACTACTTGATAATGGGACGATTCTGGCGATTTTCGCGTTTCATCCATGTAAATGGAGTGCATGCAGCTGATGCTTTCAACATATCGCAGGCAATGATCTCCCGCTGCACTCCTCCTCATCCATTCCTGCTATGCCCTGGAAATGGCATGCCTGCCATCTGATTGACCATGCTGTGCGTGCATGCAGCCCACCCCTCATCTACCTGCCCCGGGTCGTCGCTCCGGACTGGCTGAAAGTGACACTTGACTTGGCGCTTGCCCTGGTGCTCTGCACATATACATGGTCAGTGCTGCATGCGTGCACATATCCATGGTCAGTGCTGCATGCGTGCACATGTACCTTGTCAGTGCTGCATGCGTGCACATGTACATGCATGGCGATCACTGCAAAAGCTTGCTGTCTTAGCTGTCACATTTGCCTCCCGCCATTGTCGGTGCCCCCTGTGGTGCAACTAGTGCGTTCCCTGCCCCCTCCACTTGCCCAAGTTCCCATACTTGCACCAGTTGCAGCTGCATGAACCTCAAGTGTTGCCTTTGCTTGATTGCACCTGTTGCTCTGCGCTGGCTGGTTCTGTTGCAGGCAGCAGGGGGCTGATCAGCCGTTGCACCAACCCCGGTTCGCCCCTTCTGCACTACCCATGGCCATGACCCTCATACCCCTCTCATCTCATGGCCCTTCCCGTGGCTCATCCTCTGGCTGCCATTGGTGTCCGTGGCTCCTGGACTGCCACTCACAGGGCGTTCCTCTTCGTCCACACATGACAATGGCAGACCTGACAGCCTTTTTCTTCGTTACTCATGGCCCTTTCCTGTACAGTTCTCCCTGTACCACTACTGTTGGAAGCATTGGCTAAAAGATTGCAAAAATGTTGATTGTAAAAATCAGGCAGAGAGCAATTGTACCTGTCCACAACCCTGATTGATGAGCAGCTGCACCTGAAAGGACTGATGGGGTTGTGTTGGAAACATCTCAAAAGACTTAAGCGTTTCTGAAGTATAACACTGTACTCGAGGAAGATTACAGGGGAGCACGCGAGTCAACGGAGGTTGCACGAGGGGGCGGACAAAGAATGCGAAAAGACTCGAAAGGTCGCAACTGGAGGTTACGACTGACCGTTACAACATCACGGATGGTAACCGAAGCGGCAATCGAGTCGCTGTGCGACTCGATAAACCGTTCCTGTAACTGTATTCTACAACTGCTTTCTTATCTTCTATATATTGCTGCATGCTTGTTTCTTTAGTCAATCACTTGTTCTCATATACTAGTACAAGGGTTCAACTGCCTCAACTTCCGCTGCACTACTCAAGTCTCATTTTACAACTGGGACTTAGTCTCTGGAAAGATCCTAAGGGCTTTTATCAGCCCAACATGGTATGAGAGCTAGTCAGAGACCAAACTCCCAGCAATTGCACTCCATCAACCTGCAACTCAACTCAATTCAACGACTTCATTGATCACAAGACATGGACAGCAAGGGCAAGAAAGTCTCTACGGGCTCACCCAGCGGCCAAGAAACTCAACACGGCAACTCTGGTCTGCACACCTCAGGACTGCTGACAGAGACCGGGACTGCTCAAGAAACAACGGGAAGAGTACCAGAGATGGTGACTCCATCTCCCTCTTCAAGCGTGGACCCCAACCTTATGGAAAGGTTCTTCAGCTTCATGTCGCACTTCGACCAGCAGCAGCAGACAAGGACACCTGCGCATTCAACACAGAGCAATGGAGGAAACATGGGATTAGTGCCGATGAGCCTCGACAACTCATCGTTTGGGCGACACAATCAAGCGCCTACCTTTGCGCCTTATCACTCTTCACCGGGGACGTTCGAGTTCATGCCGCCCCGTGCCCAACCAACAGCAGCTGCATCACACCAAACACCAAACGAAATCTTAAGTCTCCAGGCGCAGTTTTCACACGTGATTAAACTGCAGACATCCTCACCGTTCAACGGACACGACTTCTTTACCTGGAGCTTCGAGTTCGAGCTGCTGATGGAGGCTGCGCACCTTCTGGGATACTTCAACAGGTCCCTGCCATTCCCAAGCAACGGCACTGGAAAGGAACAAGAAATCTTCACGTATCAGTCGCTGCTGGCGTATACGGTTCTCCTGAGAAACCTGTCACCACAAGAACAGCAGAGCATCAGAACATACAGGAGCTATGGAAACTCCGCGGAGCTCGCATGGCACCATCTCAAGTGCCTCTATCAAGCAAATGACAGCGTGACACAAAGCAGACTCATGCAACAACTGACAACAATACAAATGAAGACCGGGGAAAATGCGATGCAGTATATGAGTCGCTGCCAGACCCTCCGCGACCGCCTGCTTCGGTGCGGAGGAACAATCACTGAAGAAAGCTTCGTGACACTTGTCCTCGCCGGGCTCGGGCCAGAATGGAGAACCACACGATCGCTTCTTCGCGCCCACGGAAGGATTTCGGAGATGCACCTCTGCGCCGAGCTTCACGCTGAACAACAAGAGATGGACCTGTTCGAAGAAAGACAACCAAGGAAGCAGCAGCAGTTAGTCTTCTACACTCAACGAAGAAACGACAACACCTACAATCGACGGGGCAAGCAAGAACGCGACAACAGGGGATTTACCTTCGTGCCGCCGTTCTGCCAAAACTGCCAGACTTCCGGGCACTCCAAGGTCAATTGCAACCGCCCTCGCGTTTACCGTCCAGCAGACCCACAAGTCGCTTCCACTCAAGCAAGTCCCCCAAGACGCTCTTCAACATCTGCACAACAGACACCAAATATTATCAATTGCATGGTACACATCGACAACTGCGCACCCGGATCACCACCCACTTACGCGCCAGACGAAGAAGAGCTCCCGCCACCGCGCTCACAAGGCCTTCAAGTCAATCCAACATATTCTGCGGTCACCAAGGCCGAACCCACTGGGCGAAACACCTGGTTCTTGGACAGCTGCTGCGGGCAACACATGTGCTCTTCGGGACGATTCGTGCAACAGGAGAAACGCCTCAACCGCGACGTCGTCATCACCGTCGCCAACAACGAAAATCTGAAGACAAACAGACAAGGCGTGGTTCAGTTACAATCCATGGAGACAAACGTCATACTTCAGCTCAACAAAGTCCTCATTGTCGACAACCTGGGATACAACCTACTAAGCGTAAGCCAACTAATGGCCAAGGGGATTCACCTGGAGTGCGACTCCTACTCCAACGAGTTTCGGCTATACCACGGGAAGGGTGGCCTCTTCATCGGTCGTGCCCTCCTGAAATCCGGCGTCTTCGTTTTGGACTTCGTCCCCGACCGCGGTACTGCCGACAGCGACGGCATCGTATCATTCGCCGCCTGGACACACCCGCCGGATTTTGATCCAGAATTCGACAGTGACGGCTTCTGGCACTCCAACACCATACCTGCAGTAGAAAGAACACGAGCATTAGCAGTCATCAGACAAGAAAGACAAGTACCCGCGAGTATCCCAACCAAACCATCACCTGCAGTAGCAGCAGCAGGACTCAGCCGAGTCCCACCACCGGCGATCCGAGGACCGCCAACCGAAGCAGACCAACTTATGCCCATCACACGAGAAGTTTGTCGAAGTCCCGCCACAGTCGTCGCGTTCTTCTCCAACGCCGACATATACCACCGCTCACCGGGTCATCGCGCTCCCGACGACATCTGGCACCAACGCCTCGGGCATCCTGCAAACAGCACGATACTACAAACAATCCAAGCAGAGGTGTTAGAACGCAACGCCCTCCTAACGACGAGCGGCCAAGAACTTCGACGACCACGAGCACGGTGCTTCACGTGCCCCGAAGCAGATCTTCCCCATCAGCCTTTTCCATCTCATCACAACCCAAGCGCACCTACATACGCTCCGATGGAAAAAGTCTACAGCGATATTTTAAACATGCCTCGAGAAGACACCGAAGCCGACTTCAACTACGTCATCACGTTCATCGACGCAGCAACCAGATACGTCTGGCACTTCAATCTCAAGACGCGCGATCAAGCTTTCGACGCCTTCACAACATGGCTTCCCATCGCCGAACGAGAATCGGGAACCAAGCTCAAGAGCTTCCAGTCAGACGGTGCACTGGAATACCAGTCACAACGCTTCAGGACCTATCTGGCGGAAAGAGGAATCAGACGCCTGGTGTCTCTGCCCTATGCTCACCAGCAGCAGGGGGTCGCAGAACGCATGAACCGGACCTTGCAGACGACGATGCGAAAACTGCTTCTGGGGATGAGGCTGCCCACCACACTGTGGCCAGACGCGATGACACATGCAGTTCACCTGCACAACCTGCTCTCCTCGTCATCGCTTCCCAACAACGCATCACCGCACCTGTTGTGGACAAGAAAAAGGGGCAGCACAAAATTACTCCGAGTTTTCGGCTGCATGGTACAGTACAGACCCCACACAGCCCGAGCAGGACGCTTCACACAACGAGCTCGGTGGGGACTACACCTCGGCATCGCCAAACAATTTCACGCGTGGAAAATTCTCGACATACAGGACAAAAATACCGTGGCATCACGTGATGTTATCTTCTACGAGCGACTGACGCTGCAGCATTACCTGGACAACATTGCCAACACACATGACCCCACCGACGGCTTCTTCGGACTTCGTTCCTTCGCCGACCGTGCTGCCGAAGCTGACGCGGCAGAAGAAGACGTACCTGAAGCCTCGGAAACTGCCGGACCACTCCCATTCTGTTCCGTACCTGTTCCACTCGACGAAGACAATCCTCTCGATAGCAACAACCTCGACACCTTTTACCACTTCGCTGACCAAGGTTACATTACACCCCACCCAATCGACACAAATGTTTCAGAACGCATCGGTCCCAACTTCTTACCTGACCCAGAAGACGGTAACGAAGCAGCTTATTCCGGGAATGAAAATTCCCCTCGACACACACCAACGGGACTGCAGATTCTAGGCCTCTGGGTCTCCGTCCAGCATCCGCCGCCGCCTTCTCCGCGAGAGCCTTCGACCCTGTCGCAGGCTCTGGGGGGGGGAATATAAGGCGAAATGGAAGGAAGCGATGGAAAAGGAGTTAAAGGCTCTGCAAGACCGGAAAACATGGAAACTGGTACCTGCAACGAGCATCAACGGGAAAAACGTCCTCTCGGGGAAATGGGTGTACCGCATTAAGACCAACTCAGACGGCTCCATCGAACGATTCAAAGCTCGATGGGTCGTACGAGGCTTCGATCAACGATACGGGACCGACTACACAGAAACCTTCGCTCCAGTCTCCCGTCACACCTCATTACGCATCCTACTCGCCGTCGCAGCCACGAAGACATTACCACTACGCCAAATCGACGTCGCGAATGCGTTCCTATACGCACCTGTGGACGCCGAGATTTTCGTCGAACAACCCCACGGATTCATCGACGACCCCACGAAAGTATGCCAACTGACAAAATCCCTATACGGGATCAAGTAAGCCCCGCGGCTCTGGCAGCAGCATCTCCACGGCCGTCTCGCAAAAATCGGATTCCTACAGCTGCCGCATGACCAAGGAATGTACCGACTGCAGAAGGGAAGAGAGTATATCCTACTCATCGTCTACGTCGACGACCTGCTCTACATCGGCTCCACTACCGACATCGCCACCTGGTTCGAACGGGAGCTGAAAGAAGACTTAACACTCACGGTGTCCGACGAAGTGACCCAGTACCTAGGACTGAATGTCGACGAAAACGACACGGCGTTCTACCTACACGCTGGAAAGTACTCAGGCACCGTCGCGAAGAAATTCGGTCTAACACCGACTACTGTCCCAACTCCCTACCACTACGGGAACAACAATAGCACCTCCGCAAAACTCCCCGCGAAACAAATCCAGGAGTATCAACAGAAGCTCGGCTGCCTACTATTCGCAGCAGTAACCTGCCGACCCGACCTGTCCTATAGTGCGAGTCAACTGGCGACGCATCTGAAGTAACCGGAACAGGAAGATCTCGAGGAGCTCAACCGAGCACTACTCTACTTCGTCTCCACGCCGACGATTGGGCTTACCTACAGCAAAGCGACAACACCGTCCGTACGACTACTCGGATACGTCGACGCCGACCACGCGGGAGATAGGGAAAATCGACGATCTAGGACGGGCTACATCTACCGACTAGAACCCATCGGAACTATCTCCTGGCAGTCGAGCAAGCAGGAGTTAATCGCGCTATCCTCGGCTGAAGCAGAGTATATCGCCCTTTGTACTGCGACCAAGGAAGGACTCTACCTACGGGAGTTACTCGAGGAAGCGAAGATCGCGACCCTGCCCGCCTTCTCACTCCTCTGCGATAACCAATCTGCGATCAAAATCGCGAACAAGGACGGCTTCGCCAACGGAACTAAGCACATCGCCCTGCGGTACTTCTTCGTCAAGGATGAAATCGCGAAGGGGAGACTTCAACTCAGTTACTGCCCGACGACAGAAATGGCCGCAGATTATCTGACGAAGAAATTGGCGAAAGCAAAATTCGACTACTGCATGCTCCTGACCGGGCAAACAAACGTCACCGGATCTGAACACGCCAGCACTCCAGAAACGAAGGGGAGTGTTGGAAACATCTCAAAAGACTTAAGCGTTTCTGAAGTATAACTCTGTACTCGAGGAAGATTACAGGGGAGCACGTGAGTCAACGGAGGTTGCACGAGGGGGCGGACAAAGAATGCGAAAAGAGTCGAAAGGTCGCAGCTGGAGGTTACGACTGACCGTTACAACATCACGAATGGTAACCGAAGCGGCAATCGAGTCGCTGTGCGACTCGATAAACCGTTCCTGTAATCGTATTCTACTATCAAATCTAGAATTTTTAATAATAAGAGAGAGAGAGTACACAAACATATACCTAAATGTTGTACTCTCTAGAAGGTGACCCTATACAGTCTATACAAACAAGATAACTACACATGTTTGACACACCCCCTGGACTGCATAGGGGAATGTTCTAGACAAGCAGCTCAGGGTGGCACTACTAGTCCAGCCTCTGAGACAAGGGTCTAAAAGACCAGTCAGAAGGAGTACAGACAAGGCAAGAACGAGTACAGGGCGGCACTACTAGTCCAACCACTGTGAGAGGACACAAGTCCAGTCTGAGTGTATACATATATATATATACGACAGTACAAAGTCAAAGCCCGAGTAAGTGAGAGACTACAGGAACCAGACCAAGCTGTAAACAGTGCCGCTGATGATCTTTAGGCGCAAGCGCCTTCGTAAAGATATCAGCTGTGTTGGCACCGGAGGCCAAGTGTACTACGCGAGCCTGGCGACGCTGCTGTAGCTCGCGCAGGAGGAAGTACCGCAGCTGGATGTGCTTCGCTCTGCCCTCGAGTCGAGGCTCCTGACACAGGAGAATCATGGCCCTGTTGTCAGCGTACAGGACCGGGGCAGAGCTAGGCCGCTCACCTAAGTCAGTGAGCAAGAAGGTCAGCCAGCGGAGCTCCTGTGCCGCCATGGCACCGGCGTAGATCTCAGCCTCACAGCTGGACTGGGCAACAGACGAGGAGCGGGTAGCTCTCCACGAGACAGCACCTGAGCCAAGGCTAAAGCAGTAGCCCTGGGAAGACCTGAGCGTCTCGGCGTCGTCTGCCCAAGAAGCGTCTGTGTGTCCAGTAAGGACCACTGGCCTGCGTCCGCCTAGCACTAACCCCATGCCCGATGTACTTGCAAGATAACGCAAAACCCTCTTAGCGGCAGACCAGTGCTGAGGTCGGTGTCTGCCTGTGGCCACAAAACGAGCCAGGATGCTGAGAGGGTATGCGAGATCTGGGCGAGTGCAAGTCATCAGGTACATGAGGCAACCCACTAGCTCAGCGTAAGGACCACTGGGATCTACCGACTCCTCAGGAACTGGAGCGGAGAGTCTGTGGTCCAGAGGAAGAGGGGTGGGCTGTGCGGAGGAGAACTGAAGGCCGAACCTCTGAAGGACCTGGCGCACCAAGTGTGACTGAGTCAGGGTGATGGTGCGCGCGGCTCTGTCCCTGGAGATCTGCAAGCCAAGGTAACGGCGCAGCTCTCCAAG